GTAGCCTTTATAATGGAAAAAATGACTTTTCGGAAAATCTTTCGAAATCTTTGACGGTACCCTATGGAATCTACCAAATATTAATCCTGAAGAAATCCGACCAAATCTGTATTTGATGGACATAATCATCGTTGAAGAATAGCCTTAATCAGTGTCCATGATCTGGAGCATTCAAAATTCAAAGGAAATGGCCTTTCGAAAAACAATCGCCGAAAAGATTACGAAAATATCATTTGAAAATAAATTCGCCCAAATTTGTGCTTAATTGGGTTAATCATCGGTGGAGAATAGGATCAATAGATTTCATTATCAATAGAGATTATACTTTAAAATATGTGCCTAAACTCGAATATGTGATCTGTACACTTTAAAATCCAAGGAAAATGGTCTTTCAAAAAACCGCGTGAAATCTGTGAATGTAACCCTTCGAAATTTGCCAATGGTCACGGGAAAAATCGGCACAAATCGGTATTTAATAGACTTAATAATCGGTGAAGAATAGTCTCACATCGAATTCGTGATTTGTAACCTTCAAAATCCAAAGAAATTAATCTTTCGAAAAAATCACCCGAAATCAGTGATGGTACCCCTTCGGAATATGCCAAAATTGGCCCCGAAAAAAATCCAGCACATTATTTGCTAAATAGACTTAATCATCGGTGGGGAATAGCCTCATGCCGAATCTGCGATCTGTAGCCTTCAAAATCTAAGGACAATAATCAGTCGAAAAATATGCCCCATTTGGTGTTTCATAGACTTAAATATTGGTGAACAATAGCCTTAAGCTGAATCTTTAAGTTGTAGCCTTCAAATTCAAGGAAAATAGGCATTCGAAAAAATTGCTTGAATTATATGATGATAGACCATTGGAATATGCCAGAAATGGCTCCGGAAAAATCCTCCCAAATTGGTGTTAAATAGACTTAATTATTATTGAAAAATAGCCTCATGCCGAATCCATGATTTGTAGCCTTCAAAATCCAGGCAAAATGTCCTTTCCCAAAATTGCCTAAAAATTTACGACAATGCCCTAAAAAAATTCAATTAAATCGGCGGTTAACTTACGTTTAGCATTGGTCGGAAATAGCTTAAAGCCGAATCCGTGATCTCTAGGCTTTAAAATCCAAAGAAAATGGTCTATCGATAAAATCGCCCAAAATATGTGATTGTACTCTTTAAATAAGCAAAAAATGGTCATGGAAAAAATCCGCACAAATCGGTGTTTAATAGGCTGAATCATCAGTGAAGAATAGCCTTAGTGCGAATTCGTGATATAAAGCCTTCAAAATCCAAGAAAAGTTGCCTTTCAAAAAAATCGCATCAAATCTGTGATGGGTTCTCCCTTTGCAATTTGCCAAAATTGGCCCCGGAAAAAATACACCCAAATCGTTGCTTAATAGACTTAATCATCCGTGAAGAATAGTCTCAGTTCGAATCCGTGATATATAGCTTTCAAAATCATTGAAAAATAGCATGCGAAAGAATTACTTAAAATCTATGATGGTAACCCCTTTGGAATATGCCAAAATTGGCCAAAAACATTTCGACCCATTTGGTACTTAATAAACTTAATCATCGGTGGGAAATTTTCTCAGGCGGAATTTGTGATCTGTATCCTTTAAAATTCAAGGAAAATAACCATTTGAAAAAATTGTACCTCTTTTGAATATGCAAAAAATGGTCATGAAAAAAATCCGCAAAAATCGGTGTTTAATAGACTTAATCATCGGTGAAGAATAACCTTAGTGCGAATTCGTGATATAAAGCCTTCAAAATCCCAGAAAAATTGTCTTTCAAAAAAATCGCCTCAAATATGTGATGGGTACCCCTTTGCAATTTGCCAAAATTGCCCCCGGAAAAATACACCCAAATCGTTGCTTAATAGACTTAATCATCCGTGAAAAAATAGTCTCAGGTCGAATCCGTGATATGTAGCTTTCAAAAGCATTGGAAAATAGCCTGCGAAAGAATTGCTTAAAATCTATGATGGTAACCCCTTTGGAATATGCCAAAATTGGCCAAAAAAATTTGACCCATTTGGTGCTTAATAAACTTAATCATTGGTGGGAAATTTTCTCTGGCCGAATTTGTGATCTGTATCCTTCAAAATTCAAGAAAAATAACCATTTGAAAAAATTGCCCGAAAGCTGTTATGATTCTCCTCCTCTACTAGATCACCCCACAGGTTGTGTGGGTATGGAACCACCGCGTTGATGCCATAGATTAAACCATCCCTCATCATACTTTCTTTCAGCCTATGTGCCTAGTGGAGAACTTCCTAAACCTTGGAATTACATGTACTTTAAACTCACCAATAACCTCTGGTCGAAGCACACATTTGGAATCTGCCAAAAATGGCCCCGGAAAAAGTCCGCACCATTAGGCTTCATAGACTTAATTATCGATGAAGAATAGTCTTAGGCCGAATTTGTGATATGTAGCCTTCAAAATCCAAGAAAAATAGACATTCACAAAATCGCCCGAATTCTGTGATGATACACCTTTTGGATCTGTCAAAAAGACCCCTGGAAAAATTCGCCCAAATTAGTGCTTAATAGACTTAATCATCGGTAAGAATAGCCTCAGGACGAATATATGATATGTAATCTTCAAAATTCAAGGAAAATGACCTTACAAAAAATCGCACAAAATTATGAAAATGTCATCCGAAAACCCCGTCCAAATAGTCGATTAATAAACTTAATCATCAATGAGAAATAGTCTCAGGTGGAATCTATAATCCGTAGCCTATAAAATCTGAAGAAGATGGTCTTTAAAAAAATTGCCTGAAATATATGAATCAAACCCTGGCCAAAGCTTACTTGCGCCAAGAAGCCAGCATTTGAATTCTGTTTCTAGCTTATATCAAAACTTTGGGGTTAATTGCATGGTTGGTCACTGAGATTACAAAAATCGTTTAAGTTTGGTCACTCGAAATATTTAAATTCATTGGTGGTACTTCAGTTTACTGAAACCGTTCATGTTTGGTCACTCTCCGTCCAACTCCGTTAACTTTTACTGATGTGGCAGTCAACTCTCAAAGTTGACCGTTAACTTCGTGATGTGGCAACTAAAAAATTATTAAAAATAAAAAAATAAACTTTTATTTTTCCACCTCATTATTAGATTCATTAAAAAACTAAAAAACCTAATTTCTTTATTTTTTAGAAAACGAGACTTGCTTCCCTCCAGCGGCGGCTACGATGCTTCCTCAGCCTCGCTAAACAGAACAGTAACAGTGAACTTCCATACTCCTCACTGGGAACTTCCTCTCCATCTCAAACGCCAAGCTGAGATACCCTCTTGAACTCGATCTCCCAGCTATCCGAACGCCCTTCTTCTTCACCGGCGACGAACAAGACGAATTAGATGATGAATTTGACGAGGAAGAAGAGGAGGAGAATGATTTCATATTCCAGGGAAAAATCCTGCCACTGCCACTCTGTTTCTTCTTCTTCTTACCCTGCTCTTCCTGCTTCCTTTTCTTCTACTTGAGCAATTACTTCTGGGTAGTAAAAGTAATTTGGGCGCCAGGCTTGGTTAACGGAAACGGACTCACCCCCTCCTTCATAAACACTGTCAACGGAATCGGTCATTTGACCTGGAGACAGTCCCCAAGACGGCTCTTGGACGACTGCGGTTGGTTTCGTGACCTCCGCCGCGAAACCACCGTGGGTTGGGAGATAATTGGGGCGTTTAATCAAAATCCTCAGTTTAATCGGCTTCCTGATTTCTCCAGCGGCTGCAATCGGCGTATGCTTCTGCTTCTGCATCTACTTCTTCTTTTTTTCCTTCTTTGCTGCCTTCATTCTCTGTGGCGGGCCGCAGTCTTTTCGGGAGAGCTTCCTTTCCTCGAAGCCAGCGCCCAAGTCAGCGAATGCCACCTCGTCGGCATAGTAATGTCCCCCACCGTCGAGCGGCGGCGGCTGCAGCGGTATTGCGGAGGCCGGGAAGTCGTGGTGTGGGGCGCCGCCTCCGACGTTGTCGACCAGCAAGGAGTGGATGAGGTCGTCGCAGTCGTCGAATCCCCCGCCGCCGGGTTGGTCGTCGTCTTCACGGCCTCGAATAAGGTCGACGAACTGGTCGAAGTTGGCGTCGGCGATGAAGTCCAGCAGCTCGAAGTTGGTGTTGTTGTGGTGGTTGCCGCCATCTCCGTTCATGTTGCTGGCACCAAAGTTCTCCATGAAGGATTTTGCTTACTTTTTTTTTGTTTTTTTAGGAATATAAGTGAGTTTTTTTCCGCTTAGTATCTATAAGCTAGTTAGCTACAAGTAGCCATCGCCATATATATCCGTTACGTTACCAAATCAACTATTAGTTTTGTTTTATGGTTTCACTGTTACTGTTCTGTTTAGCGAGACGGAGGACGCATCGGAGCCGGCAGCGGGAGGGAAGCAAGTCTCGTTTTCTAAAAAATAAAAAAATTAGGTTTTTTATTTTTTATTTTTTAATGAATGTAATAATGAGGCGGAAATATAAAAGTTTATTTTTTATTTTTAATAATTTTTTAGTTGCCACGTCACTAAGTTAACGGTCAACTTTGAGAGTTGACTGCCACATCAGCAAAAGTTAACGGAGTTGGACGGAGAGTGACCAAACATGAACGGTTTCAGTAAACTGAAATACCACCAATGGATTTAAATATTTCGAGTGATCAAACTTGAACGTTTTTTGTAATTTCAGTGACTAACCATGCAATTAACCCCAAAACTTTGTCTTGTGGCAAAATTCTTCTTTAGTCACCAAACTTATGTTTTCTGTTAGTTGAGTCAAAGTCAGCGGTTTAGCAGAAGGTAAATAGTTAGTTATTGATTTAGCTACTTTGTAGGTTAGTGGAGTTAAGGATGGTGCTTTAATGTCGAGATTAGTGGCCAAAATCTACAAAATACTATCTATCTACAAAATACTATAAGGCAATGTCAAAAAAACAACATTTGCCACGTCAGCCTCTCCTGAAACGGCCGCACAGTTTGGAGGGGCTTTTGTGTAAATCCCGGAAGCGAACCTCTTACCCGGAAGCAAACCTCTCCCGCACTGCCGCCGCCGCTCACTGCCGAGGATCTGCCCTGTCTTCCACAACTCTTCTCTTCTCTTCTCTCTTTCTGTCTTCCAGCCCGGACATATCACCGCTAATCTTGCAATTCTTCTCCCCCAAGCATTGCCCTCGAAAGTCCTGTTTCAAACCTCGCCGTCGAGCAAGCAAACCATTGTTCTCGCTCATACCCTTTCTCACTCTTCGATCGGCTGTCTCTCGCACTCCCGGAAAGCTCACGGCAACCCTTGCCACCGCAGGTACCGCTATCCACGCCTGACCCTGTTACGGTGTACGTACCAGCTGCATGTGTCATGCATGTACGTGTTTGTCCGTTTTACTTGTTCCAAGGACCTTTTAGCATTTTGTGTAAACCCTAGTAGCTTGATGTCAAGGGTTAGCACTTATATATATATGGTTTGGCTGCTGTGTAGCGCCGTGTAGTAGTGTATAGGGCAATTATATGAACCCTAATAAAGCTATAGCCGAAAACCCCTTGAGAGGGTTTTCCGTGGATTAGTCTTGCTCACACCGAGCAAGGATACCACGTAAATCGCTGTGTTCTCGTATTGTTTTCATTGAGTTTTATCATGGTATCAGAGCTGTGAGTAGATCCTCGCGGCGTTTCGTTCAAACCTATGGCTTCCGATGATGAGCAGTCTTTGGCTACCGAGACCATGAAGAAGTCTTCGGCGTCGGGCAGCGGCAAAGATCTTCCCCCGGCGCTCATCCTTCATAACTCGGACAGCCCAAATCAATTATTCGTTGGCGAATTACTTACCGATTCCAATTACGGTGAGTGGCTTGGTGATATCACCGACTCTTTTATTGCCAAAAATAAAATTGGCTTTGTTGATGGCTCTATTCCTCAGCCTACCAATGTTGTTCTACGTACCCAGTGGAAGATTTGTGATGCTATGGTCAAGGGCTGGTTGAAGACAACCATGACCAAGGAAATACGGTCGAGTGTTCGTTTTGCGAATACAGCCCGTGAAATCTGGCTTGATCTTGAAGCTCGATTTGGGCAAGGTAGCGCCTCTCGCCTCTATGAGTTGCGTGGTATGATTGCTATGTTGCAGCAGGAGAAGGCTAGTGTATCCAGCTTTTATACCAAATTGCGGGGCTTGTGGGATGAAATTCAGTCTATATCTCCCACCCCCGACTGTAGCTGCGAGGGCTGTCATTGTGACGTTAAGCGCAAGTATCGCGCCACCAAGAACAGTGAACAGCTTTTCGATTTTTTGATGGGTCTCGATGATGCCTTCTCGACCATTAAGACACAAATTTTGGCCATGCGCCCCATGCCAACTCTTGCTGAAGCATATCAGCTTGTGAGCAATGACGAACAACAACGCAAAATTGCACAAGCCCGACGCCCAACTGTTGAAGCGGCGGCTTTCCATGCTCAGGATGCACAGTCCTCGAGCCGAGGTTCTTCTGATCGCCTCGCTGATCCTGGTCGTACTGGCGACAAGCCTTGCTTCTTTTGTGACCATTGCAAGAAAGGCGGCCATACCAAGGACCGCTGTTACGAGCTCGTTGGCTATCCGGAGCGGGGTACCACTCGTGGTGATCGCGGCGGTCGCTCGAAAGGGGGTGATCGCAAGAAGGGTCCTTCCCCTCGGGCAGCCCAGTTTGATGCTCGTGATAGTCCGATTCCGGGCTTAAGTGCTTCCCAATTTGACCAACTCAAGACATTATTTGGTGGTGAGTTGAAGGCCTCGTCGCACCCAGCTAACAAGGCGACAGGTAATTTTCTTCATCCTTCTATGTCCCGTGGTGACTGGTTAATTGATACGGGCTGTAACGAACACATCATCAATGATCCGACGATGATCCGTGAGCCACAGGTTGACCCCGGTTTACAGGTTCGGGTCCCTGATGGTTCGACGGTAGCAGTAAATAGTATTGGGGCAGTTCGATTGTATAACGGGATGGTTTTACCACGAGTACTGTTGGTTCCGGAATTTAAGTGCAACCTCTTGTATGTTAGTCAGCTTACTCGGGATTTTTCTCTCGCCTTGATCTTTCTCCGGGACTTCTGTGTTATACAAGACTTGTACTCGAAGATGATTATTGGGACGGGGACGCAAGCTGATGGCCTATACTTTTTGAGACTCTTTGATGGGATCCGGCAAGAAATGGCTCATGCAGTTCGTGGATGTGTCTCTGCGGAACTCTGGCATTCCCGTTTAGGCCACCCGTCGGCTGAGAAGTTGGATTTGTTGCACTTATTTCCTAGTCGGATTCATAAAAACCTTTGTTCATCTTGTTTACGAGCAAAACAGTCTCGCTTGGCTTTCCCGTCTAGTTCGATTTGCAGTTCCAAACCTTTTGAGTTTATTCACCTTGATATATGGGGTGGTTACAAAGTTCCTTCGTTAAGTGGTGCCCAGTATTTTCTCACCGTGGTTGATGACTTTACTCGTGGTGTGTGGATTTACTTGCTAAAATTCAAGTCCGAAGCAGCCAAGTATTTGAAGTTGTTTATTCGGCAGGCTTCTCGACAGTTTGGGGCTTCTGTTAAGGTTATTCAAACTGATAATGGGACTGAGTTCCAATCTCATGAGCTGGTTGATTTCTATATTGATGAGGGGATCAAACTTCAGACTTCTTGCATTGACACTCCTCAACAGAACGGAGTTGTCGAACGTAAGCACCGGCATATTCTCGATACTGCTCGAGCGCTCCGGTTTCATGCTAATCTCCCTAAGAAATTTTGGGGGGAGTGTGTTCTTACAGCTGGCTATTTAATTAATCGCCTTCCCCATAGTTCTCTCGACAACCAGACTCCGTATGAACGTCTTTTTCGTCGTCGCCCCACATATGCTCATTTGCGTGCCTTCGGGTGCCTGGTTTATGCAAAGGATACCCGTCATCATTTGGACAAGTTTAGCGAACGGGGTCGGCCCTGTATTTTTCTTGGATATCCATCTTCACAGAAAGGATATCGTGTATACGAGTTGTCTTCCCATCGGCTTTTTACCTCTCGAGATGTTATTTTTGATGAGACCACTTTCCCATTTCACTCCTTGCAGAGTGATATTTTGCCTATGCCGCGGCCACTGCTTTCCCCTGTTGTGGACTCTGATGACGATGAGGATGGTGATGATGATCACGTTGATACACCTACCGGTGATGCCTCTTTGTCTCACGATCGTGAAGCTTCACCCAGCCCTCCCGTCACTGCCGTTGCTGATGCTCCCGAGGCGTTGCTCTCCTCGCCTGAGTGCACCACCTCGCCCTCACCGTCCGGTGGGTCTTCTTCCTCGGCTGAGAATGCTGCTCATTCTCCCTCCCCTTTGTTGCCTTCACCCCTTGTGGTTTCGCCACCACCAGCGCCTGTTCCAGTTCCGGTTCGTCGCGGTGCTCGTGCCCGACAGCCCTCCGTGCGCCTTGCAGGTTATGAAACACATTTCCCTGCCTCTCACACTGCGGATGTCAAATATCCGTTATCTGCTTATGTTACCCTTACTCGTCTTTCTCCTAATCATCGTGTTTTTGTGTCAGCGGTGGATACTCATGTTGAGCCGCAATTCTTTCACGATGTTGTTCAGTTGGCTTGCTGGCGTGACGCCATGCAGAAGGAGATCGCGGCCTTGGAAGCAAATGGCACGTGGGATTTGGAGGAGCTTCCCCCCGGCAAACGTGCTATCGCTTCTAAGTGGGTATATAAAATCAAATTTCGTCCCGATGGTTCTGTTGAGCGCTATAAAGCGCGCTTAGTGGCTAAGGGTTTTACTCAGGTCGAAGGGGTGGATTATCATGACACTTTTGCCCCGGTGGCAAAACTGGTTACTGTCCGATCTGTTCTTGCTGTTGCTGCTCATCGCGGCTGGCATCTTCACCAGATGGACGTCAATAACGCGTTTCTTCATGGTGACCTGCAGGAAGAGGTTTATATGAAACTCCCACCTGGTTTTGCTCGACCGGGGGAGACTAGAGTTTGTCGTCTTCGCAAATCCATTTATGGGTTGAAACAGGCTTCCAGAAACTGGTACATGAAATTTACTCAGTCGCTACAGCAGTTTGGATTTCAGCAGTCTAAGGCTGATCATTCTCTATTCACTTACCGGCGCAATGGGGTATACGTTTTTGCGCTAATTTATGTGGATGATATTATTCTTGGTGGAGATGATTTGAATACCATTCAGCAGGTGAAGGATTTTCTACAGAAGCAATTCAGTATCAAAGATTTGGGAGTTTAAAGTATTTTTTGGGCATAGAAGTCGCTCGTTCTCGAGCTGGACTGGTATTATCGCAAAGGAAATACGCATTAGACATCCTAAAAGATGCTGGTGCATCGGCTGTCAAACCGTGCGCTTTCCCGATTGAACAGAATCATCATCTCACACGTATTGAGGGTCCCGCAGCTAAGGATCCTTCTGGTTTTCGCAGGCTTGTTGGGCGGCTACAGTATTTGACTGTCACTCGTCCCGATATAGTTTATGCAGTGAATATTCTGAGTCAGGCTGTCCATTCTCCGCGTCAAGAGCACGAGGATGCCGCACACAGGGTCTTGAGGTACCTTAAAGGCGCTCCCGGACGTGGTCTTCGGTTCCCTTCTACAGGGCAACTCAGCTTGACTTCTTTTTGTGATGCTGACTGGGGTGGCTGTCAGCGGACACGTCGATCCACTACTGGGTATTTCATTCGCTTGGGAAATTGTCCGATATCCTGGCGGACAAAGAAACAGACTGTCGTTGCTCGTTCCTCTGCTGAAGCCGAGTATAGAGCTATGGCGAGTACTGTTAGCGAGTTGGTTTGGCTTCGCTGGTTGCTCAATGACTTGGGAGTTTCGAGTTCCACACCCACTCCTCTTCATTGTGATAACCAGGCTGCTTTGCACATTGCAGCGAATCCAGTTTTTCATGAACGAACAAAGCATGTTAAAATGGATTGTCATTTTGTGCGTGAACGTGTTACTTCTGGTGAGATTGAGCCACAGAAGATTTCGTCTAAGGAACAGGTAGCTGACATTTTTACGAAGGGCCTTGGTGCGGATCAGTTTTCATTTCTGAGTTCCAAGCTTGGGCTTCATGATATTCACACCTAAGCTTGAGGGGGTGTGTTACGGTGTACGTACCAGCTGCATGTGTCATGCATGTACGTGTTTGTCCGTTTTACTTGTTCCAAGGACCTTTTAGCATTTTGTGTAAACCCTAGTAGCTTGATGTCAAGGGTTAGCACTTATATATATATGGTTTGGCTGCTGTGTAGCGCCGTGTAGTAGTGTATAGGGCAATTATATGAACCCTAATAAAGCTATAGCCGAAAACCCCTTGAGAGGGTTTTCCGTGGATTAGTCTTGCTCACACCGAGCAAGGATACCACGTAAATCGCTGTGTTCTCGTATTGTTTTCATTGAGTTTTATCAGACCCTCAACACCGCTCCCAAAGTAATTAAATCTCACTCCCTTTCTAATCCGATTCGCAGATTTCTATGTTCGTTTCAAAGGGAGTAGCAAACCATCAAGAAACTGTGGGTCGGGGTTTGATGGGGAAGAAGAAGCGGGTTCCGTAATTCCCACCAAGCCTCATTCTCCCCTTCAAATTCCGGTAACTCTTACGTCTACTATACCAAAGCTTACTTAATGGTTTGTTTTCCCACAATTTCACTACTCTGTTCCAATTGATACATGAGTGTATAAATAACCTACTGAAGTTTGTGCTACTTGTGCTCCAAAGGTTCTGTCAATACTATCAAATCGATAGTCAAATTGAAGAGGAGAGTTTACATAGGTTTAGAGTTTTAGAGTTTAATTAGTTTTGGACTTTTCATCACTCTAAAGACAATTTGAAGTTGAAAATAGCACGGATTTTTGTGTTTATGATAGCAGCAACTTAGTGCCAGTGTGTTTATTATGTCATTAGCTTCAATTAGTCTGTGTTATTTACACCAACAGCTCAAGTTTGTGTCAGTTTAGGACTTTTTGTGGATTTCGACTTTAAGGAGGCAGGGAATTCTCCACATACCAAACCTCTAGCTTATTTTCTGTTACATGGCAGGTTCCATCGCTTTACACGCACTCAAGAAAAGGTTTTTACTCTAAGTTGGGGTGATTACTTAAACAGTCACAAATTTTTGCAGGGGGTAAAATGTCATCCTTTTAACCTGCAATTGTCACTCCTTCTGGAAGCTATTTGTTCCTAATGTGCTAGGCAAATGGATTAGGTTCGTGAGTTGGGTTCTTGCTTTGGTGGATTCATGAATTGAGTTTAAATAGATTTACGGGTTTATTGGTTGGTTTAGACTTTAGATGGGTTAGTGAGTTTGCGGATCATTGAACATCCATGAAAAAGAAGCCATAGCAGCTGCAACAGTTGCAGCAGCAACAGATTTGGAAGAGAAGGTAGGTGTGAATAGTTTTATTTAATCTCTGAAAATTGTTAGTTTGAAATTTTGTGGTGCTGATGTGATTCTTTGCTTTGCTTATGGGAATTGGTAAGTCTTGGTGTTTTTTTGTCTCAATTGAGCTTTCCCTAGCTTAAAGATAATTGACCACACTCATATTCAATTGTTTGCTTCTATTCCTTCCCGATTTCTGTATTGTTTATTTCTTTGCTGAATATATGGCATTTCTTGATTGAAGTTTCAGTTGCATTTTATTTTGACTTAGCTTCTTAGTTGGGAGGGAAGATATGATATTGCATGACGTGAATAGAGAGTTGAAGGGATAGACATTAATAACTTTATTCATCTAATAGCAGCAACTAAATCCACTATTGGTCTCAACATTAGAGAAACAACTTGGAAATTTGGTCTTTTATTAAAGGATGAATACAATGACCATTGCAATTTACTCATACATTATATGTTTGTTGAGATGTGAATTTTGAAAGTTTCTATATATTATTATATTCATTGTGTAATTGGGACTTCGAGCTTGCTTGCCGTATCATATCATTGATTTTGATTGTATTTCATTATGTAATTGGGAGTTGGGACTACGAGTTTGCTTGCTGTATAATGTCATTGATTTTGATTGTATTTCATTATCAATAGAACCAAACAAAATTCACGTACTGGGTCTATAGCACACCGGCCAACGGGCCGGGCCCAATGCTAGTCATGTACTAAAGTTGTGAATCTTCTTTTCTTTTAGCAAAAGATATCATATTGATTTATAGAAAATATCAATGACTACACCCCGAAACTAACCCAGGAACAAAAATCATACAATCGATATGAAGCCGGAAGTAAAGAAAGGACATTTCTAGCCACAAATCGAATGTGAAAACCACTATTCAGAGCCAGCATACGCAGAATCTCTTGGATAATTGCACCAACACGGCTGTCTTGCGCATCTTCGGCATTAGTTATATCAATAAGCACTTTCGCATCACCCTCAACCCAAACTTGAGCAATGCCGAGATCCTCACACCACTGAATAGTTTCACAGAGGACAATAGTCTCTACCACAAGCGGGTCAACAATATTCTCGAAAACCATGCCTCTTGCTAAGACCACTGACCCTCCATCATCCTTCAAGATCAGCCCTCATGCTGAATACGAGTCAGCACATACCGCACCAGCTCACATGTAGACGATAGAGAGAGAATCAAGCTCCCCCAGATTTTGATGCATAGGCACCCGATCTTGGACCATCCTATCCTCCGGTATGGACACCCATTCATGGAGTTGCTGATGGTGCTGGCGCATCAGTAGAGGAATCAGGAACTGCTTACCTTCGAAGGCGCCACCAGAGCCATAATCTGATCCGATTAGGTCATCCTAAGCATACATTTCTTAAGAAAAAAAAAAGGAAAAGTTTGATGTGACAGATCCTGCCCCAGATGCTCTAATCCCGAGTGAGTCCAGAGGGCTGCAGCGATTGGACACTCCCAAAAGTGGTGCTCCGTCATTTCATATTCCGCCCAACACACCTGACATTGAGGCAAAATCTGAATCTGTTTCTCAATCAGAGCTTCAGTAGTAGGCAGGATACAGTTGCACCGCCCATCGTGCATCGAACCTGAAGAGTACTGGTCGGCTTTGTCGCGTGAAAGGCTTATTCGATGGGCTAAGCGCTCTATGGTCCGACCTTTGATCCGTGTGATGCTTCACCTTATTAGTCCAAGTGAATGAATCCCCTGAAAGTTGTCAGTTTGCATGAAGTTCTTGCTCTTTCATAAGAAGTAGCTGAAAACTAACTAGACATTTGTGTGATGCTTTTTTTTAATTAAAAGTTGTATGATCCCTAATTATATAAACAAGCACGAACCATATAACTTGTTGGGTTCGACCTAATAGGACTTTTATTGGGTTAGGATTTTATCTAAATTGCTTGAAATTTGGTATTTTTCAAATTCAAGGCTGATTCAATCCGATTTCGTCAAAATTTTGGGTTACCCAGAGTCTAATTTGATTGGTCGAGTCGGGCTGAGTCCAACCGAATTTTTCTATCTTTGATGACTAATATGCATTCTTGAAGTAGAATTAGCCCGGGACATCAAATTGGAGAAAGTAGGGATGATAACAAAACTCGAATCCATGGGTACCTACCCGACCCAATCCAGTCAATGCGGGTAAATTTCGTATTGAAGGGTTTTGGGTCGGGTTAGGATTTAAACCCGCCACACTATTCATCGAGTTGGGTTTGGGTTTAGGTATACCCGCCCCATGGATACCCGCTCATACCTATATAATTAATTTTTTTGGTATATTTAATATTTTAAGAAATATATCTTCCTCAAACAACTAATCTTCTTTATGTTTGTGGCGACATGTTTAATTTGTTCTTTCTAATTGTGTAGAATGAAGTTGATATTATGGAGTGGAGAGTGAATAAGCTTTCAATTAATCATGTTGTTTATAGATGCTTATCTTTAATTTTGAACAATGTGTATTGATAGTTTGTGGTATACTAGATTGGTGTTTTTTGTATGGATAATTTGTATGAGAAAATTTATGTTAGACTTTTATTTTGAAAGAAACTTGTTATTATAAATTTTGTACCACAAAAATCCACAGGTACCCATGAACCCGCGGATACCCAGTAAATTAGGTTGGATATGAATTTTTCAAACCAAACGAGTTTTACCCCGGATTTTTTAGCGGATAAACGGTACCCATATCAATTATTTATATTGAAAAGCATAATTACAAATGGATAGTGAAAAGTACAAATCAAATACTATGGTACGATCCATAGTCCATACTAGATCTCACCAACCAGGCAACCACTCATGCATCCTTAAAAAAAGCATGGTCCATGAAATCGTACCGTACCGGTGGTTCAACCACGAAATACCAGTATCGGAGGCTAAACCGGTAGGCGGTATTTAACAGTACAACGGTTGAACTACGGTTAAAGCACGACTTTACCATAAAATACCCTACCGCTGACTTTCCCGGTACGGTTTCATGGACCATGAAAAAAGTACCAACTTAATTAATTACTCCAATGCAGCCATGAATTCCGCATCACTTTCCAGACGCGCCGCCGTCTCCGGCGACAGACAAATCTCAACGTCGACGCTCCCGTCCTCAACTCCGGGATACACAGTCAGCTACCCGTCGAATTTGTTCCTGGGACCGTTCCTCACCGCCACGGGCTTCCCCCACCCGAAATCGTTACCGTACACGTCGAACCTCGGCGAGCTGCTCAGAGCCATCCCTCCTGCCACCAAACCCCTCAACGTCGGCATCTTTGGATTCTCGATCCACGATTCCACCGCTCCCTTCAACTTCTCGTCTGTAAGCCCCGCCACCACCTTGATAAAACTCAAAAACAGAAACAAAAATCAGACACGGATCTACGTGATATCTCTGGAGTAACATATTCAACACACCTTATTGACTTCCGCCGCCACGCGTCCCAATCCTTTGTCGCGTCCTCCTGACAGCTCTGTCAACTTAACCACTATCGGCCACGTAATGACCGCGTTCCCGAAGTAGTCTTCGGGAACGAACCTCGACCGAAATCCCACCTGGACAACAAATGCGGCTTCCTCCTGATCTGAATCTGGATCTAGAGTAATATTCTTGTTTCGAATTACCGCCCTCCATAGGTGAGAGATTAGCGACTGGAGAGAAGATATTTTGCCGTCGCCGAAGCAGCCGATGTCAGCTGCTTCGGCGTTGGCCCGTGTTTTTAAATCTTCGAGTGTCCGGCGGCTGAAATGGAGGACCCGCTCCTTCAGCTGCGGAAAGACGATTTTGCCCTCTCCTTCGAATTCTTTGATTTTCGTGATGGGGATCTTGATGAGGCGGTGCTTCTCATCGATAAACCAGTTTCTAGAGAAGGCCGCCGTCGACGAGACGTAATTGTCAAAGAGTGGTATAAGATCTAATATAATTTTCTCCCTACAATTCGAGTTATTGGGACCAATTAGTTTATGATCGTAATCACCCCGACAGAGTGCGGACCAGGATTTGACGAACTTCCAAATGGTGGCGCCATCAGCGACGGCGTGACTGATCGTCCAGCCGACGAATACCCCGTCGGAGAGCTCGGTGACCTGGACGGCGGCCAACGGATGCTCGAACCCATGGTAGTTTCTGAGCCAGTTCAGGGGGAAAAAGGACAGGATGACGTCGGAAGGGATGTAAACGGGGTCCAGGATGTCGGCGACGGAGACGCCGGCGGCGGAAGCGTGGGCGAAAGGAGCTCCGGCGTCGTTGCAGTCGATGTAGATAGTGGCGGTGCCGTCTTCAGGGTGTTCGTCGGCGGAGAGGCGGCCGGCGAACGGGTAAAACAAGGCGAGGGCGGCGGAGAAGGAAGACTTCAAGCTGTCGACGAATGCGACCGTCGTCGTCGTGGCCGCCGCGGGTTTGCGGAAGAGGAGTCCCTTCTGGATGGTTCCGACGAGAAGGAGGCGGAGGTCGCACGGCGTGAGAGGAATCCTCCCGTAAGGTGGCGGTGGTTGTGTGGTTTTGTTGTTGGCGTGGACTAGAGATGTGGAGAGAACTTGAACTCTGGCGTCATCATCGTTCGCCATTTTCTTTTTTCCGTTTAGAGCGCAAGTTAATTCGAAGCTCCGGAGGGACAATGTGATAGTTAAATTTGAACTTGGCTTGGGCTAATATTTATCTTGGTTACCAAAATTCATAAATTAAAATAAGAAACCTGATCAGACCGAATCATATAAACTCATCTGAAGCTTCTCAAGAGGGCGGGTAGGGTTTCATTGTAGAGAAGGTTGTCAATAGGGCTGGGAAACAGTCCGGTTCGGTTTAAACCGGACCGGATTGACCCGGTTTTTTACAACCGTATTAGACAATCCCACGACCGAAGACGGGATTGGATTGTAACCCGGTTTTGACCAAACCGAATTGGATGCAATACGGTTTGGTCCGGTTTTAACTTAAAAACTGGATTGATTTATTCCACACGCTGCCGTTTGCAAATGAAATTTAAAAAAATTATAAAAATTTGTACACCATACCACGTCTCTGGCCCTCTATCCCCATCCACACAATCCCTCAAAACCCTATCTCTTCCATCTCTATCGTTACCGCCGTTGCTCTCTCCCACCAAAAAAAGAAATCCACTTCTTTCCTCTACTTTCCTCTCTTCTCCCATTCCTTTGCTTCATGGAGAGTCTGGCACCCATAAACTCTCCTCTGTTCCCCCTTCCTCTTGCATGCACAACCATCACCATGTATTTCGTGAACAGAGGAGGCGAACGCTGGTTTGCATCAGGGAGAGAGGTGAGTCGTTGCTGAGAGTGGCGATGAACGATTGGATGATGGAGTCAGATCGGAAGATGGAGGGAGGCGATTGGAGAGTTCTGATGGCGGAGTGGCGATGGGTCGATGGCCGGCTCTCGGCTGGCCGCCGTCAAGAGTCACGGGACGCAATCGAGGGAGGCGATTGGCCGGCGGATGAGCTTTGATTCTCTTCGTCTTCTTCTTTTCTTCGTGTATGTGTTTTTTGTAAAGTGTGAACAGAGAAGATAGAAGAGTTTGAGGGTTAGGGAGTGAGAGAACAGAGAAGAAAATCATGGCCGACTAGGGTTAGGGAGTGGGCTCGGGATGGGAGTGGGCTCGGGCTGGGACTGGGACTGGGCTGGGCTGGCTATATTTGTATTATCCGGTTTTTCGGTTTTTCCCGGTTTTAACCGGATCGGACCGGGCCAGTTTTTTGTGTGAATCCTACAACCGCAAATTGGATTGGGTGAATGGGAATCCGGTTTCCGGTTACAACCGGGACGGTTTAAATTGGCCAGTTTTCGGTTTGACCGAAAAACCGGGACTGGATTCCCAGCCCTAGTTGTCAAGGCATTTGTTTAACATTATCTTTTGATCTCCTCAATCACACAATATTCTGGCAATTCTGAATTTTCCACGTGTAGTGCTAATTGTTAATTATGGATATATGGTCTCCCTTAAAATGTTAAAATATATTTCTTTTTTTTGGGCGGGATGGAGCTATCTCTTTTTGGATTGTCCGGTCGCTCGAGCCCTGTGAATCTGTGGTTGCACTTAGGGCTGAGAATCTAGAACAAATTGTACGAGGAACTATGGTCTACATCGTATCGTATGGTTTGATCTGGACAGTGAGAACAGAATTATGGATTGGTCTGGTTTACGGTCTCCTATATTAGTGTGTGGTTCGAAGTGGTATGGACTGCGGTCTACCACAGTAAATCATGACAGATGTGACATATTACCCACTAACTCATACCAAAATAACACTACATTAAACCTCTATTTCTATATTTGAAGAACAAAATTGGTTGATTATTCATCCCGTTGAGAGCCAACAGGTTGCAAAAATGATTGCTTATGAGTTATCTCCTTATCAAAGAATACATAAAAACAAGAAATATTCATTAATAATATTCACTGACAATGTCTAGACTGTGAAGTCAATAAAACAGAAACACTAGAAAAAATTCACTGATCTTGATGAGATAAGGAAAATTATAGAGAGTTAAGTGATCACCATCTTAATGGTTCGGAATGACCTCGACATCATCACGACGGTGATTGACCGTGAGAACTTCTCGGATCAACTGAGAGAGGGAGAGAAGCAGTAGCACAAAGAGGAAAAAGGAAACAAGACTATTTGATGTGTGTTTTTATAATGGATACTGGTAGAGCCGTGGATTCTGGAGAATGAGTTTGAAAAAGTTCACTTCTCTCCTCATATATTTTTTTCTAGTTTAATTAAGATGACTAAATTTCTATTTCACTAGCATATTGGTCACTGAAAATTTTATTTTAATAGATGCCGGGGAGGTTGAATGGTGGAATAAAAGTGAATTTTTTTAACATGGTATGCCTATTCCAGAATGTATCGGACCACATCGCACATGTGGGGTCTAGTATGGACCATAGTACATGGTTTGGTCCATGGTCTGTGTTTCAGCTTCTTGGTCTTGACCACAAACCGTGTATATGGTATGTTCTAGTCCGGACCACACTGTTTATCATCCCCTAGCTGAAGTCGAGTCTAAAGCATATGGGTCAAGGGCTATCAAGACAAAATTCCCCTCTTCCTCAAAAATTCTTTGTTAAGGATGACTCAGCCGACTCAAATTACGGCTCTGGTTGCGGTTCTTTGGCATATATGGAAGTCCAGAAATTGGGATGTATTTGAGAGAAAACAATTTTGGATTGATAATCTGATGCGCTAGTACCAACAACAACTCTAGGAATGGATTAACCTGTCGTCATAAAGGGTGGCTCCTAATCTCCCTCCGATGCATAATCCGGCTTAGTCAAGGGGTTAATTTGGTTACCTACATGTGGGATGACATCGTGTTTTTCGGATCCCATTCAGGGGGAGGAATGAACCTAAAAGATGAAGGAGACTTTGTTGTCTTAGTCAGGGGTTGTCTTTTGCGGATATTGACGACCCTGTTTTAGTTGAGACCCTTGTCTGCTGGGAGGTGATTAAGTGGTGCTAGGACCGTGGTTTCAGAGATTTTTCCAGAAATAGCACTGTTTAAAAAAAAATTCCAAAAATAGCACCCAACTCCGAAAAATTCCAAAAATAGCACCATTTTTGTAAAACCGCCACCCGGAGGTGCGTTTTTCAATGAAAACGCAACCCAACGGCGCGTTTTTCGATGAAAACCGCACTGGTAGGGAGCGGTTTTGCAGACCGCACCCCCAGGGTGCGTTTTGTCTTTTTTTTTTTTTTTTTTGCAAACCGCACCCCCAGGGTGCAATCTGCTCTTTTTTTTTTTTTTTTTTGAAAAATCCTAACTTAGGTGGAAACTTCAAACGAACGTATCTTTATGTTCGGGTATCCGATCGTCACGATTTTTTTTTTGATTCCGCATAACTTTTTGAGATCTTGCAAGCCGAAGACTGCCAAAGGTGGTTTGGTCTCGCCTTCGTCCCAAAAAATGTCGTTTGCTACCCTGAACGAACTTTTTTCCGATTTCGTCAAACTTTGGACAACCATAACTTTGTGCTACAAAATCCAAACGTCATGAAATTTTTTTTTATTTCGCTTAAATTTTTAAGGAATACAACTTTTATGATAGACATAATTTCAAAATGTACGTGGATTGCTGAGAAGGGAAGATAAGCCATTCCCAAAAAAATTATCGGTCGTATTTCTTAGTGTATTAAATAAAATAAATATTATATAGATGTCCATATATATGTATGTTGAGGGGTAGTTCTACGGTATCCAGCGTGAAATCTGGGGTACCGCATAACTTGAGTAAGAAAACGCTATCTAGAACTTGAATTGACTGATCTTTCGGACATGAAACTATACTCTAACCCTTAAAGATCAAATTTTAGATCTTAACTCTCTAAATCTTATACCTCAAGATCAATTTAATTAGAAACAATAATCGACGGTTATGATTCGTCCAAATATAGGCAAAAAATCAATAGTCGAATTATTGAAACGACTGATTAGTGATAGGATCGGAAAGACTAGCATGCTAACACTTTTTTTTGTTGGCATGGTGTTAATCAGTGTTGTTAAAGTCGGATCGGACCGACCGGTATAACCGCCACCCACCCTCTAACTCGGTCCAGTCGGGCTATTTAACTGTCACGGTCCAATCTTCGATTTGTACGCGAACCGGCCGGTTCAACCATGTTTGCCGTTCGAACCGCTCACCGATTTTGACGGTCGGAATCCTATTTGACCCAATTCAAAAATTGGGACAAATGTGAGAGAGTTGGGATTTGAACTCAGCACCTTTTGGTGACGACTCAGACCTTCTACCAATAAGTCTAGCCCCTTTTTCATGAGACAAAAGCTAATAAAGTCTTTTATCAATCATTACACAGTGTTTAATTTTGAAAAGTCACAACTTCTCTACTTAAAATAATTTATATTTATGTAAAATGATAATCTTTACTTGTCATATATAATTTTATGTTAGGAATATATTAGAATCAATATATAATTATACTACTATTAATGGTACCTACTTATAATAATTTTATTTATTAGACACCGATTCTTTAACGGGTTTATAGCTGCTTAGTACCGGTTAAACCAGTAAAGTGCGAACCACTTACTATACCGGTTCATATACCGGTTCGGTTCTGACAACATTGGTGTTAAGACTAGCTCTACCCAATAGGAACATTTCGTTTGGATGACTTTGTCATTTAAATGAGTTGACTACAATTAATGAAGGGAAGGGGAAAGAGGGGCACACTTGGTATTGTAAAAGAAATAATTTTTTGCCACTTTCCTCTCCTAGCTACTAGGGATGGCAATGGGGCGGGTTTGGGGCGGGTTTGCCTAAACCATCCCCATCCCCATCTTCAAATACCCAAACCCATACCCATGCGGGGGAATGTTTTGCAAACCCATCCCCATACCCGTGGGTTTCGGGTACCCATGGGTAATACCCATCCCCGTACATCCAACATTATTATACTTAAAACTTACAAGAAAAGTTTTAATTATAACCATAAACAAACCTATTATATCACGAAGTCAACAAAACACGGTCATTTTCTAAATACGATTCAAAGAATATGATCCTAAAACATCCATTAATACATAATA